GAGCAATCACAGAAATTAGGAGAGCCTGCACTCAGGCGTTGACGGTGCTGGAGGGCTGTGTTGTCATAAGCAAGCCATCCTCAACTCTAGGTCATTCTTTCTGTCACTAACCCATCAAGCAGAATGTGATTAGATAGTCAACTCATCTGACGATGTCTCATGGGCTCAGCTAATCCTTAAATCTTTCAAAAGCAGATCAAATGAGATTGATCTTGCAAACAGAACATGTTTTGGAGAAGATTATACTTTTGTGTAGCAGGTAGGTGATTTCTGTTGGGTGTATTTGGATTATTTTTCCTCTTCAACCTGAGGAATCCTGATGACCTTGACAAAATGAGCTGTAATGTTTCATTGAGGCCTTATCTCCAGATTCAGGTTAGTACAGTACTGGTTAATTACAAAGTCAAACCCTTTTTTTAACATCTGCTTTGAAAACCTAATACATATTTTCATAGAGGTCAGGAAGTGCCTATTGCCATCTCTGAGCAGCATGGTTGGAAAGATCCGGGGACGGATATTTAAAACTGATATTGCAGCTTGTACAGAGAAAGGGGAACATACCAAACCTTCATTAAATTGGATTTTGGGAGAACGGACAGCTCAGGGTGTTTCTTGGCCACAGCCATTGCTTTCAATGCTTGTGATTTATTATTTATTCAAAGTCTTTTATCTGAACCCTTCAACCAGAAAGGATCAAAAACTGGCTAGAAAAATAAAACATGACAGTCCCTGCCTGCAAGCTTATAATACAAAGCCGTGACACAAAAAGAAAGACAACTGGGAGGGAGGAGGAAAACTTCTCCTTCCCTGCTTCTTTTTAAAGGGCAATGAAGTTTCATCTCAAGGCAAGAAATTCCTCTATAGAATCATAGAATGGTAGAGTTGGAAGGGGCCATGAAGGCCATTGAGTCCAAAACCCTGCTGTTGCAGGACGCTATGTTACGCCATCCCACTCAGATGGCTGTCCAGTTTCTTTCTGAATGTCTCTAGTGTGAGAGAGCCCACCTCCTCTCTAGACAACAGGTTCCACTGTTGTACTGCTCTGACAGTGAAGAAGCTTTTCCTGATGTCCACCCTGAATCTGGGTTGTCGTAACTTGGATTATTCCATGTCCTACATGCTGGAATTAGCAAGAAGAGATCTGACCTTCCACTTTGTGACAGCCTTTGAGGTACTTATAGAGGGATATCATGTTTTCCACTAATGTATAAAGCTGTCTTTGCCATCAGACACTCAATGGGATAGCCCAGTATTGCTGACCTCAACTATCAGAGACACTTTCCCAACCTTATAGTTTTCAGTAGAGGCTGCCATGTAGCAAACCTGTTTCTTCCAGATTCTGAAGGTGGAGGGGTTATCACTTACCAGTGCATTCCCACTTTATAAAAGAGAAAGGTACAAACAAGGAACCTCCATGGCTGTACCTCTGTGCTTCTCATATGGATAGGCCCTTCTAAGAACCCTCCAACCAAAGAATGAGGGATTTCCCCTCCAGTGAGCAAGGGTCTGTTACAAAGCACAATGTAAACTCACTGCCATCAGCTTTGTGTGTTACCACAGCTTCCCCAATAAAAGGCACCTACCATGTGTTGCTGGATTACAGGTTTCATCAGCCCTAGCTAGAATGCCCAATGGCCAGGGGGGATGGGAACTGTACTCCAACACCATCTGGAGAAGGCTGTGGAAGAGCAGTCTACCAAGCTTTCAGCGAAGGGTTGACAGGGAGGGGCTGACAGAAGTGGGGTTTAATCTGTTTTAGGAAGGTAGCTCTAAATGCACAATCCTTCTGTTGCTTGCCCCAAAAGGTCTCGGTGGGTGTTTCAGTCGAATGTTTGCAAATGTGCATGCTTTCTGCATGTGTTCTGCTCATTTGACTCAGATGTATGAGAGATTCATGTGCCGTTTCCAACACTAACCTGTACTCCCAGGGGCCTGACAAATGATGCATGACTCACAAGGGGCAGTGGCGTAGCAGAGTCAGGACTCACAGCTATGCAGTGCCAACCCCTTTGAATTAGCAAGGATGCTGGCATTGTTTGCCATCCCAATACTTGAAAATGAGTACCACCCCCCCCTCGCCCACACCCTGCCAGCAACACTACATTGATCCTTGCTTCTCTCAGATCCTTGGATGGCAGAACGCCAGAGGACTGCTCCAAACAAAATTAGAACTAAAGAGTTATAGTTTATGTCTCTACTAAGGACACTTTCCCATGGCCTCCCCTCCTTTTGGTCACTTGTCATAAATCCTGGCATTTCTGCCTTCCTTTCACACCTTATCTCTCATGTCTTCTGCCAAAATGAAGCTCAAAGATTCATCCTTGGCCCAACTAAATCTCTGTTATTACTTCTCATATAGAACCAGAGTCTCTGATTGTGGCTACATTGGTATCTAACTTACTCAATTCATTAGTACTACATGAAAGGGGGAATTTATAATCTTCTCAAATGTAAAGCCAAAGTATTTTGGGCTGATGTGGTCCTGAATGAGCACTGACTGGAAAATCTCTTTACTTTCTGAAAGCCCTGGCTCCTAATAGATAAAGGCTCCCAAAACTGCTTCATTACTATGAATCAACACAGCTGCCTGCAATCTTGGACACTCCTTCAGGACACAGCTGTGGAGACCATCAAGAGGCACATCTGCATGACCAATCGTACCACTACACCACAGGCCTGATTAGGTGTTGGACCTCTTTCAACCAGAGTACCAAATTTCATGTTGGAGAAGCCCTCGGGGGTCCTTTTCCTGCAGCAGTAGGGATTAAAAGCAAAGCAGCAGGACTGAAAATGGCAGAAATACAACATTTTCTAATTTAAGTCTCTTAGCCTTAGGAGAAATATTTCAGCCTTTCAGAATGGGCAAAAACCTGCACAAAACTCTCATAACTACTCAGTGATTGAGGGAAAGGGGAACATGGCTTTTTGTAAAACCTGGAAGGGCAGTCTAGGACCCCCAGAATACAAGACATGGCCCCCTGAGCATCAGCTTCTGCACCTCTGTCTCAAACATAATTTCAGAATTTATTTTGCATGACACACATAGATTTAAATAAGAACTGATTACTACTGTTTATAATTTAACCCTAAATTACTCACTTTACTGCAATCTTTCTCTTTATTACTGCTCTCATAAATCAGTGTCTTAAACCACTCAATTCCCCTTCTTTTTTAGAACTAGAGACAGGTGTGCATAAGCTGCCTGATGCAAATCCAGTGGTCAGGCTCAAACTAGGCACATCCCAGTTCTCATCGGAGCTCATAGTGTACATGCAGAACAATTCTGTGTGCTCCTGCAGAGAAGACCAAGGCTGTTCCGTGGGGTTTGCCCTTTGATAAGTGTGCACAGGAATGCAGCCTCTGTACCTGACCTCTCTCCATCCGCACTGCAGGGATATGCAGCAGCGATACTGAGTGAGATTGCCCAAGCCAGATTATTTTTGCTTGGAAGGCAATATTTCAGGATTCTCTTTGTTGCATTCTTTAGTTTGAAAGTTGTCCAAGTCTCCTTTCTTTTTGTACGATCAAATCACAGGTTTGAGGGTAGAGCCTTTCACTCCAAACCCAACGGACACATTTTTGCCCCTCTGGTTCTTTTCTACAAGCAGTGCTCTGGCTGATAGATTGTGCAGGTGGGACCATCTCCATGTGCAAGTGAGTTTTAGCACATGTAAGAAAAGCCCCCACCAACCAGAAATGCCTGTTTTTGAAGAGAGCAGTCAGCGGAGTTTCCTCATGCAAATTCTGCCCAGCTGCCTCTGCCCTGGAACGAGTGCCTGCCTTACCCCAGGAGTACGAAACCACCATTGTGCAAATAGATGGTGGGGGCGCACTTGCACAAAGCAATCCAGAAAGCAGAAGAGACTCAGCAGGGGCCAGCCACCGCATTGGATTCTGCTCAGGGAAGACTTGAAATTAACCCTACCATTTCCCACAACCACACTGGAATGGGAAATCAGCAAAAGCAGACCTGACAGTGCTGGCACTCAAAAATAACCAAGATCAGAAAGGCATAAAACTAGGCTGATTAGAAGTCCTACAGGTCTCGAATGGGGGCATGCTACTGAAAAAAGGACAGATTAGGACAATTTGCATAGCATTTACATTCACAAAATATATCGACAGGTACAAATTTAGAAATAAGAACTTTAACTTACATATATATGTAGGATATCTCACCCTAGTCCAGAAGACTGACCTGTTAAGGCCTCTCCTTAAACTGGTCCATTAAACAGAGAACACCTTCAAATAGAGGATTGTCCTCTGCTAACTCTCCAAAACTAGAAGGCTTTCTCTGGAAAGAATAACGCTGAGAAGTCCCTCTTGTTTGTGCCCTTGGAAATCCATCCCAGAAGTTAAAGGAGGATGTTGATAAACTGCACTTCAAGCAAGAAGACTTGCCATTCCAAGGGGAACAAGTGGGTATTTGGCCCACCATCTGACAATCCTTTGGCAAAGTGCCACTTTTTCAAAAGTAGACACTGATGAAAGTTAGGGAGAAGGCAAAGTTTTTACTCCCAAAAATGGATCCTGTTTCTCATTTTGCTGAAACTCTATTCATTGTCTTTGTCTGGCTTTCACTATCTAGCTCTGTAAAATGAATATTGATTAGGAGAGTGGAATTGGCCTGTGTGTGCACGTGGAAGCAATTCAAAGGAAAAAAGCCATTTTGGCCCTTGCAAAGCGTGTGTCCCACTCCTCCTGATTTCAGCAATATTCCACGGTGTGTGAAATGCTGGCTGGGGAGCTTTTCAGCTGGCAGGATTCCTTACTGTTCTAAACAAGCATAGGATTTGCCTTTCAGAGCTTAGCCCATAACAACAAGCAAGCTATTCCACAGCTATTTCCAATATCTAGCAAAAACAAAACCTCTCTTAACACCCCCACTGAATTCTTTTTAAACACCTCCACTGAATACAACAGTTCAGGTTCATTTGTGGAGTGGGAAGACCCTGTTTCAAATCTCTGCCTTTCGAGGAAGGTACCCTGGAAGGGCTTACCTGTGGGGCATGCCGCTTGCATAGGCTACTGTATGCTCATAGGACAATTCGCACATCTTTAGGTACCAGTTCATTTCCAGTTCCCGCAGAAGGGCCAGCCGCCGGGCCTTTTGCTGCATCTGTGCAAAGAGGGTGTGCCTGTTGTCCTTTTCTGAGGAGACCCTGGGAAGCACCGGAAGGGTCCTCAGCTCTGGAGTTTTGCTCCTTACTGTCCCCCCAGCACGGGCTGCAAGCATCTTCGTGCTTCACCTGTACAAAAAGCAAGCACCATCTAGGTCTCTGGCCTGAAGTCACATAAACTGATTTTTCCCCTACTGGGCACTTTCATCCTACTATAACCTTATCCTGGTCACAAAGCTGTAATCAGATACACACCTACAGGGCTTAAACTAGAAAGCAGAGCTGTAACCTTTCCATAGGCACATCTGGTAGGAGCTTTCTAGTCTGTTGATTGTACCAGTGCTTTTGTTGTTGTTATTGTTATTATTATTAAAGAAAGAGGAAAAAAGAATGAATAAATGAACATTTCCTTGGGGGCTCTAAGCAGAGGAGGAGGAGCTTCTTTCTGCTGTGATACGGAAAGGCCATTCTGAATGTGCTTAAAGGCAATTAGCTATTATTTCACAACCCTGGTATGAAAAATGTATTTTGACACAAGGAGCCATGACACAAGACACATGAATTTGAAAGAGAGAAAAGTACTGCTTTGCTCTGTTTATGCACCTTAAGAACCAGCTTAGAATTTTACTCCGTGCAAGCATTATAGGCAGGTGGTGATAAAAAGAATTCTCACACTCCATTGGCAGATGTGATACAGTATTTGCAAACTGACACCTGGACTGTTTTCCAATGCACATCATTTCTGAAGCGCTATCACTCTGAGTGTCAAGAAATGATCCGCGCAGCCCTATGACCACTAACCAGCATCTTGACAGCCGTAAGAGCGGTTTGGATTCCTAGCTATGAGGTTAGGAAATTGCTCCCAACCTTGAAGCTGGGCTCTGTCCTCAGATCCCCACCCACAGCCAGGGGGAAGGGCTCTGCTGGACACTTCCCTGATGCTGCAAGTGCAACCTTGGAGCAGGACATTACTCAGAGCGGGGTACAGGAGAGAAGGGAAGAAGCCAGCACCCCCAAGTTATGAGTTATCTGGGAGGCATCTCGGTTTCATTCCCTCCCACCCTGAAGCATCATGCTCAGCTACTGATATTTTTAGGGCAGGACAACCTTCGCCTCTGCATTCCTTTGCCCTCCATAGGATGCTTGCCGTCCTCCGAGTTCAGAGGGTTACTGGCATCCCCACTGCAATATTTAAATAAAACAGCATTAAATATCAAACAGAAGTCTATAGATTAAAACTGGCTACAAGTACAAATCTACAGGATTATGGTATCTCAATAAATTTAAGTCTGTAACCTGCCCCAATACTGTTTAGAAGCATAATGCTAGCAGACCAGACCCTTACATGTTTGCTGGGTAAACCCAGTAATAGTCAAATCCAATAACAAGATGTTATGATAGAAATATGAACTGTCTTATGTCAACCTTATAAGCAAGAAAGGAAGTACAATCATTTTATGTAAATAATTACATGAAAGCCAAGTTATTAATTTAAAACTCCTAGGGAAAAAATCCCCCATCTATCAGTGGCTAATTGAAGTGAGGGAAATTGCAAACAGGATTATATTAACCTGCCCAATCTAATTGAAAGAAAGGTTAGGAGCACATCTTGAAGTAGTCAAATACTGGCCTAAGCTATTAAATTACCTTGGAATGGTAACATAGCATTTGACAATTCTTTGATCCAGTAATTTTGTAACACTGGATTGCAACACATTTTTAGTTAGTCACATTGATCAATCCCATAGATAGATCATAACTTTAAACACTTAAAAAGAGAGAATGTTCCAGTAGCTTTTTACAAGCATTGATCTTGATACAAACATTGTCCACTCCTTCAACCCAAATCTCCCTGTGTCTTTTAAGGAACTGCTATGAGGCCCACCCACCTGACGACATAAGCCTAACAACCGTGGCCCATCGCCTAAGGACTCTCTTCTCCAAGCTGGGCTCTTTCCAGGCAGCTAAGCAGATAATCGGAGAGAATCAGCAGCATTTGAGAAGACAGACACATCTGCATAAATGTGGTGCAGTCTGTTAAGCCAGGGCAGTTTATTAAGGATCTTCATAGGTGGAGGTAACTAAGGGCTTTATTAAATTAATAGGGTTATCTGCATCTCCACTTCAAAGCTCTTAGCAAGTTAGTGGTAGGTTTCTGATGGCCCAATAGGGGTTTTGTACAAGGCAATTTATCAGTTTTATTATTCTGTTTCATTGTAGAGCTGAGATCCAAGTACTATATTATTGTTCTCTTTCCTGTTCACATAACCTTTGAGTGGTGTTATGGAATAGCAAACACACACATGAAAAATTCTTTTTCTTTCATTTTTCTAATTAAATGCTGCATGTTCTTTGCTCTAAAAAAGCACGCTGAAAGTTCTTGGAACTTTTCTCCACAATAAAAGCTTTTCTCCATTATTGTACACTCAGTATTCAGTGCTCATGGTTGTTTTTGCATTTCTGACAAAATTATGATTCCCCAATTACATTTCTGCTATTTACTTTCCTATTTTATGTTTTACTTTGTTTTGTATAAGGCAGGCAAGATGCAGCATCATTTCTTAAAGTGAAATAAAAGTATTTGCCCATTTGTGCACTTGTGATATTCTGCTAATAGCAGAGTGCCACCTACAAGTTATGTGGAATGGAAAAATTCTTTGTGTAGTGCTCACATTTCAATTCTGTGATATAACCATATTCCTGATGGATGAGTGGTATTTTTGTATTTCCATCAATTAAAGTTTACTTTTATTAGGTTTGTATCCTGCCTTTATCTTTCTTAAAGAAACCAAAATGGCTGCATTCTCCTCCCATTTCCACTCTTAATCTAATCCCCACAACAGCAACAACCCTGTGAGGTAGGCTGTGCTGAGAGTGGCTCCATGGCTGAGTGGGGACTAGAACCCAGATCGCCTGAGTCTCTGTCCCATGCTCTTACCCACTACACCACACTGGCTCCCAGTGTGCATGGAGATAATGAACTTTGCGCTAGAATGCCATAGTTGCTGGGCATGAGAATGAGTGAACATGGATTTAGTGGAGCCAAGCCCTTCCTATTTTTGGGACAGTCACACTATTTATGACAAATTCATTTACAACTTACGCAATCAACTTCTGCAAGGACATGTGGCTAAGTACCTCTGGAGTCAAGAAACGGATGTTCCTAATAGGGCAGGGGAGAGGACTGAGGAGGTGGCATTGCACTGACTCTCTATGTCAGGGCAAGTCAGACAAGGGAGGTGATGGAGGCAGGAAAGCCTCTGAAAGCTCAGTTAGGTTTATTTCCTTCTCAGAGTTGCTGCTGCTTTGTTGAGCTCAGTGGGACACATGCTTTTGCTTCTCTTCCCAGAACAGTATTGCACGTTTAGTGCACACTGGGATTTATTCCATGGGGAACATGAGACTAATAAAAAAAAATCATCCTTTATTTATTATAGTTCTATCCTACCTTCCTCCCACTGTAGAACTCAAGGTGGCCACATGTGGTTTGCAGGTGGTCTTTCTTCCAAGCTCAGGCTGAGCCCCAGAGCTGCTTAGCCTCAACATGGTGAATGCTTGTCTTCTGGTCTGAAGAATGCAGGGATATCATGGCAGAAATAGCATAAGGTGAGTGGTTTGGAGTGAGCATAATGTAACACGCCAGTAATCCAGGCAGCACAATAACAATAAAAACCCCTACTACAGATCAACTGCAGGGGACTGGCTGCTGGCTGTTCCCGATACCTCCTGAGCTTTTTGCAGGCATACGATGGCTAACGGGGCATGCAGACAACACTACAGGAAATAGGACCCCTCCATCCCATCCCACTTTTGCTCAACTACCCTCCCGCAAGGAGTTAAGGTTATTAAAATGCTGCAAATACTAATTTCTGTTTTTAAGTTACAGGATGCATTGTTCACATTACACTAGGCCATTTTGAGGTAGATGTTATCTAAAGGTACAGGCAATGCTACATGGCATGCCTGATTGCTCAGTTGACCATTCCCTCTCAGCCACCCAAGGTAATCCCAAACCAGCACATGAAAAATGTAGAAATGAGGTACACGGATGACTTTGCTTCTAGAGTAGAGATCTAATGGTCTTTAAATATTGATAAGAGGATTCATCAACTGTATTTCCATAACCAGTTCAGTTTACCCCCAGTCAACCAATCCACAGTGGTCAGACTGTCAATGTTTTAGCTAAGACGAAATAGGTAATACTATGGTGGCTGCTGAATAAAACTCTCGTTTGATTTATGGAAGGCATTCAGGAACTTTTAAGGAGAATAAAGAATGCTGGAAGGATGCATGCCTTAGTGATAAGAACCTTTCCTTCCAGGTGTTTATGGAAAGATCTCAGGAGCAAGAAAGAAAAAGCATATCTACCCCAACTCTCCAGAAACAATCTCTTCTCATATAACAATAAATTGCTTGGGTTTTGATAGAACCATGGAAGAAACAGTGAAGCTACCACATGTGGATGAGAATTTTCTTCCATCTATTTTTTTATACAAATGTGCCAAAATCCACAAATGTCTCCATGAATGAACACAAAGATCTTGAGATTATACAAAAATGGAATACAGGAGAAAGTAAAACTGACAGATTTATCCATCTAGACAGTGGAGTTAACTCTCCAAATGGTTTTAACTCTGGGTTTGAATTTCTATGCATTCAGCCATCTTTGTGGTCCAGAATTAAGATGCTTAATAATATTCAGTGATAGCATACTGTTTTCAAACAGTAACCAATCAGCAAGGCTCATATCAATTGTAATGGATGGTCAAAAAAGCCTACAGCTCTGAGCAAGATTGTCCAGAAAAAGGTAGGTTGTGCTAAGCACTTGGTTATACACACTTTGCTGCTAATGCCTTGAAGCCTTGCAATCCAAACAACATGAAGGTTTCTCGCCCTAGCAAGTCCAGCTGTAGCTAGACAGCTTACTGATAAGCAGGCATACAAGGAGGGCTGGCCGATTTCCACATGCACAGTATCTAGCTGGAATGGAAGCTGGTTAGGTTCTGGAATGCAGGCCTGGTTATGGTTTCTGATAGCAAAACACCTGCTCATCCATTGGTGTTGATGTCATGAGGTGTCCTTTTGGCTGAACCCAGGCTTTTTAGCTGAGCAAGAG